CCTCCTATGCCTCCCATACAGCTCCCCTCAAACAGTACCACCCCTCACAAGTCCTTATTCGATCATACACTTAGAGGAGCCCTTTGCCCTTCATTATCTCCCCTCTCCATCCAACAAAACGATAGCCATTTACGGGTGTATGGCAGCTGGGAAAAATCACAAAAACCACTGAGTGCGGAGCTCTCCTAATAGCGACATTAGGACTAAATCCGAAGACATAGTGATCTTTCTGATGCGTTCGAAGAGGCCGGCCAGCTGGGCGCTGCAGACTTGCGGGTACCTCGGGAAATTCACACTCTGCATTTCTAGCCTCCTTCCAACTCCTTCCCGAAGGTCGTGCCGAAATGTCAGAAAAGTCTTGACAGAGCGTGATTGCTGTATAGTAGCTTGGCCTAGTTTCTTTTGTACCGTCCAGGGCGCTGGGGAGTGCCGTTGACTTATCGACAGAAAAAGCCCTCCTTGCTAATTAGCCGAAATCTCGGTGTTGGCGCCCACAAAAAATCCAAAGTTGAAAACTCCTCGAAAATATCGGTCCCAGCATGCTCTTCAGAGACCTATTCCCCCTATCGCTCCACATCTCAGTAGCCTGTCCTTCCTTAAGATGGATAACCCCAATAGAGCAGCAGCCCCCCATAAACCAAGACCCCAACTTTGTATATTATGACTTAATTTCCTCCTTGCGGGTATACGTAGCATTGTAGATTTGTAGTAAGTGATGGCCGGTGATGAATGAGGCAAGCTCCTGTTTGCCATGGGGGTGACGCCTTTATCGGTCGGCGAGGCGAGATGATGTGTGGTTAGATCAGGGTTGAGGACTCAGAAGATAATGGTGAGTGCTGCATGGTTGAGAAGTCGTCAAATGGAGATATGTATGTGTTTGCTTTCGACTTCGATTCGGATGCGATTCTTCTTGGCTATCCCAAATATGCATAGCATACTGAGCCATTACACCGGCACCACTGGAAGGTGAAGAATTCGTCTTTACCGGCCGCTGACACTATAAAAACAAGCAAACGATGGAAGGTGCCGTGGTCCGCCTTCCGGGGGTGGTCTCTGGTATAGTCTGAGTAGCCTGGGCACCTACTCCACTTGGGAAGGAGACATCCCAGATCACATTTCGCGCGGAGAAAAGTTAATGGATGATGGAGACATGTCTGGATAACTCAGGGTTTTTGAGACGTTCCCCTGGGTGGGTATTCACGGATGAGGGTTGACTTGGGGTGAAGAAAAAGCCGCCATAACTTCGCAGTGGTACTTGCAAATCAAATCCGAGGCATGAGTGCCCCTCTTGTAAATTGAGTCATCTTTTCTGTACTTCTATTTTGATATTGTGTCATAGCTAGATAGCTGCATACGCAATTAAAATCTGATGCAAAAAAAAAAAAGTGTCAAGCCACAAGACCCATATGTAAGATCATTGTGACCCTGAACCAACCAGCCAGAAGCCACCCTGTGCTAGCCTAATGTGTCATTTGTTTACCAACATTGTAAAGCTGATGCTTCAACACTTCGGTAAATTTACCCCAATCATCCATTTCTCATTTTCCACTTTTCCATCTAGATTATTAACTGCCTCTGCAAGTGTATGTTCCCCACAACATAGACCAAGCGAAACACAACTGTCATAGTCTTGGGGTTGGTATTGAAGGAACAAGGAGGATGAATCTCTTGGAGCTGTAATTAGATGCTGGGTTTATAGGGCGCATATATTGGCCGAGCTCCAACAAGCCAAACTTGTACATGGATAGATGATTGTTACAGTTCGAGGAACAGGTGCTGGGGCGACTATGTGGTTCATAGCCTGTAAATTATGTTTATGAGTAGAAAACTACCACGGTCTCTATCCATACGTGCATGTCAGTATTTGGTATTGTAGTTGTATGCTAGACCTGGCCGTGTAGCTTATTACAGTTGGAGAGTGTATTCTAAAATGTAGCGGTGGCTTGTTATAGATGCGATTGAGGGTTGTATGAAAGTTTGGCACTTTTATGGGTCTCAGTTATGTGGAGGTTGATGCAATCATTGATAATTATTTGTTATGTCTGTCTACAGAGAATGTGCTACAGTTCTACATGTGCCCGTAATCGCTTAGATTTGGCTAATGGGCTGTCCCTCTTTTACTACCCTCCCGTGATCCATCACGTGAGATGAATAACTGCTCACAACAAAGTCTGCAGATTGAACGCCATTAGATCACAACAATTGGCAACTTTGATCAGAAGACAGTGTTGTAGCAGGTCAGGACACAGAGATGAGGACTCATGATGGATTGATCTAATGTCTAGAATTACTACAGGACAAAAAGATACTGAGCAAATTCGGTCTCAGAGCTCCTTGTTGAAATGTGTGGTCTGTGGATATTTCTTTACATTTGAGTGGCAGCTATGTTGCGTAAAATTCAGTGCACAAGCCCATCAATTCTGTACAAACCAAAGTTTTTCTACTCAGTTGACATGTAAGGTTATCACACTCTGCCCATTTTGCTTAACAGGAGCTTCAGCCCAATGACTTCCGTAATTTCATAATCACAACACTCCTTAAAGTACTCAAGAGTGCCTACTACAATGAAGGGTATGAAAGTATACCGCTGTACCATAGCGACTGATTACTGTGTTGATTAGTGACCGTTGCTACCACAACATTGTAATCATTGCAACACAATGAATTTGTTTCAAGAGATGCTGCCAAACTCGAGGGTGCCAAAGGTAGCGTTGAGGAGGATTTCTGAGAATTATGAATTATATAAGACAAGGTGTGAGTTTGACGGCTGTCTAGCACAGGCAATTACACAAAGGGAGGTTCCTGGGAAGATGTTGGATGACAGGCAACTTTGAAGATTCATATTGAATCTTGTTGAAACATACTGAAAGTTCATGAGGCCTATAGGAGTGTCGAGATTCTTCTGGGTGGTTATCAAAGAGTCTGAGTTGTCAAGTTACAGAGAGAACCTTGTCGAAGGGGGATGTTTCAGACTGTATATTTGGGTAGATATTAGCTACAGGTGAATTCTCTCTTCAGAGAATTCTTATTAAAATATTGTACCTACAAGACTTCCCATGCATTTTGTAATGAAACCCTCGGAATATTAGCTTTATAGTTGTGTATATTGGGCTAGGTTACTGACACTTGCGCCTGGGACAGTTACTACTTATTTTTCGTTGTATGATTAGTCACCATATCTCCGAGACAAGAAGTTTAAATGGAGAGAGATGTAGACAATCACCTTACACTAACGAACCAATCCACTACTATAGTAGAGAAGTGATCACTACTGTTTTTACCAACAGAAACCGCGACAGTCAAAGGACTAATCACAATAGCTTGGTCGCACAGGTGAGTCCGAAAATAAAGGTTTATATTCTGTAGAACAAAAGAACTACATAATTGAGTATCTGCCATGTCTTGCGTAAGTCACCTCTAGCTTAAATATCCCATGAGGTGACGTGAAGAATCCTTGCAACTGGAATCCGATAACTCCAATACTGGGCCTACAAGGCCCGGTCGTTAAGAAGGAAAAGTGTGGCTTTATAATTCTAGATATAACTTAGAGCAAGAGTCAAAGGATACAAGGTCAATTAGCGACGGAAAACAAACTGTGGCCCTTCAAAGTGGCTCTGCCCTGTCTATATATACATCATAGTACCCAGAGCAACTTGGGCCTCATAGATCACGTTTTCTACCACTCTATTCCTCAAATTGTATCCCATAGCAACCATATGACCCACTTACTATTCTTAGCTGAGTGAATATTTGGAGACTGTGTAGGGAAAGCATACGGGGCTGATACTCTATCTTCAATTCCTGACAGATGCTCCTGACTTGGTAGGCCAGGAGAATCAATGCATATCAGTGTTAGTCTGTTTCATAAGGGTATTAATAGGCAGGCCACTGTCCTCAAAGGTAAGCTAGTCGGTAACACTATAACTTTTCTACACTGATGAGTCACAACTCTTATTTATCTCTAGTCCTACAGAGCTTTTTACATGTGACAATGGTACTTTTATTAAGACTCAATATCTCATCAACATTATATCAAATACTACTACCTTGCCAAGCTAGAAAATAATGCCCAAAAATTCTGTTGAGTGTCATTATACCTTCACATATTGATGACAATCAGTTGTGTGCTATCTACGTCTAGCCAGGCTTATATAGACCAACATGAGCTACCGCAACTAGTCAGCTTGTTTGTTGTCGCAATAGCCCCACATAAATCTATTTGGTAGGCTGGAGGACTGTTATATTACAATTCAGACTCCTTTACTGCGCGCAGCTTTGTGTTGGGAACCTAGACAAATGGAGGGCCCATATGTCCAAAGAATTCTGTCTCCAATTTCAACAGTCATATTCCTATTTTACATATTACTTGAGATAAAAATTCCTTGTCAGGCTACCTTGTCCTGATCCATGACTCTGTCCTGCCATCTACCCACTGTTTCCGACAGCATCGAGGCCAATTCTCCGACATAGTGCGCCATTAGCAATATGATATATACTTAATAGACTTAAATTAATGATATTCAACTGTTCGTCATCTCTCTCCACAGACGCCACTTCAAATATATAGAGATTAAGTATCCAAATTGCATAAAAGTTCCCATTTCAGACTGTTACAGCCATCCCATATAGCTCATCGTCCCACAGGACTTTATATTACGGAAAAGTACCATAAAAGGAATACTTTATATGGATTACAAGCTTCCATGAATCAGGTCTGCTCTTAGATGTTGTATTAAACCGAAGACCCATCATTTTTGTATTATTCACAACTGTATCATTCCTAGTAACAACTTTGTGCGAATTTCTCATATGTTAACCATCTTCTCTTCCACTCCAACACATTCCAGTCTCCAGAAACTAGCTTCATTCACATTCTACTTTACTGAATTTATTTCCAGCTCCACTTCTTCACGTAAAGTAGATCGAGCTCCCATAAAATTAACTGTGAGTTTCAGATAAAACATATATCTTGTGCTAAAATAAATCTAGACTAGAACAATATGAAGTTCCTACATCTTACCGGAATTATTGTGCTGCTAAGTCAAGCAACATCAATTTCTACTGCCATGCTATTCCCAAGGTCGTCATCTGGTTCAGAGACGACTCGACTTCAAATGAATGAAGTTAGAGCCGCTATCAGCAGCATACAAAGAAGTGGAATCGAGCTGGCATCGCCAAATGATGATGTGAAAGATCTTGCTAGAAGATTAGGCTACTCATTCCTAATTCCCATTTCAGTCAGTCTTGCCCGGAATACAAACGGTAAGTGAGAAGTTCATCCTAGTTCAAGGCAACATGACAATTGAACTACCCATAGGTTGTAAAAATTATGTCACAAATGACATTAATAGGGATCTTAACCTCTGGATTACTACTACAGAAGAAGGGGTTCAAATCTCTTCGTTACAGGTTAATAGGTAAAGATAGCCCAACATAGTACTTATAATGTTACAGGTCTGGGGACCAATGCTGGAGAAAAGAAGTTTTGATGGTTTTTGAAATTTGCACCAATTCATGGCACTGCAGCTACACAATAGAGGATAAGAACTAGTAAGGTTAGTTGAAAATGACTCGGTGCACATTAGTGTCAGTATGCCACTGATTTTAGTATGGAAGGCAGAGAACCTTAGTAAACCATAGAAACTTTGACGCGAGACGCAATTGCTTATTGTCTAGAGGTGATATCTACACCCAAATCTTTGATGGCTCAGTTGAATTGTTTGGAGACAAGGAGGATGGGCTGCTGTTCGTAGAAAGAGAGGAAAATATAGACTGGTGCTAAGATGCTGTTTCTGTACATTACAATCTTTTCACCTGCCAAATTAAGTGAGACATCACTTTGAACTACTCGTGTGCCAATTTACAGAGCTATTTGTCCCGGACTGAGTATTATGATTGGTTTATGGTTTGGGAATGTGCACTTGCGCTGGAATAGCTAATATGGTTTGTGGAGAGATATCTTCATTAATATGCAGAAGTGTTGTGATGGGCATATTATTTGGCAAGGGTACTTGTATGTGTATAACGTGATTAGATTTTTAGGCTGTTCGAGTAGTCCTTGTCATATTTGCTATATCTGTAGAAGGAAGTTTGTGTGTGCAGAAGCTGACTAGCGGCCGCACATGAGGTGTGAGTAGCAAGTGTTTGACATACAACTAAAGTAATCAAGTTCATTTATCCCCCAGTTTACCTTCAACCACAATCCATTCTCATTCATCCATATACTGTCGCCGGAACAATTGGTGTTGGTATACAGCAGAGCAAGTCCAGAATAAAATCAGTTAATTAACGAAATCTAAAGACGGAAGGTCTCCTACATCTTGTTATTTACAGAAGGGATTTTAATTAACGATGCTGATTATAACAGTCTCCGTTGCTTAGCAATCATTTCCAATCTCCACCCTTGGTAGTTTCTGTAGCTGACTAGAACCTAGATTCCATCCCTACCAAACTGGCGCAGACAGTACAAACACAAGGGAGTATTCCCGTAACATATATATATATATATACAGTTCATTTTACCTGATTTGGCGCCTTGAGGCCTATGCAGGTTTTTATCGGAAGATATGTACTTTAAGTAGGATGACTCAATTTGACAATTAGAACACTCACACTCAGATTTCTTTTGCAGATACCACTCGAGGTTAACCCTTACGGCGTATAACCTCGTCCGTGCATACCCACCACAGGGAAAAGCGAGAAAAACCTGTGGCTATCCGAGTGTGCTTTCATCATTCCACAAGTACAATATCACCGCGAGAGAGAGTGGTGTGTGGGTCTGACTGGATTCGAACCAGCTTTCTCCTGTCTCTGATGGGGTAGGTGTTCAAGCTACCCAGTATCTACTTGAGAGAACGGCCCGGATGGTGTACCACTGCACCATCCAACCCGACCCCGTAACATATGCTCGCACAAGATCAGCATGCATAATGATACTCACCTAAGCTCATGACTATAATAAGAAGTGAGGCTACTATGGTAATTATGTTACAGATTGGGGGAAGCTCGTCCCTTATCCCCTAGCTTGTTTGCTTATAGACCGATCATGTAGACTGATCATGTAGCCAGTATGCAGCGCTCCCATGTTTGCTCCCAACTGAACGTCTATGCCGTTTGTCCTAGATCAATGACTTATGGCTCGTACTGCACACAGTACTACTTGTAATGCCGTCATGTAGAGACTGGATCCCCTTCATATGCCATGATATCATACTGCCATAATAACTACCTATGCACCAGTTACTAGATCTGCCATACTCATTGTTTCTCAATCTCATAGCGACGACTACCATAGGTTTTCCTTGGAGCGAATTAACAAATAGATTATATGAAGCTTACATATACCAACTACCTCTATCCCAGGACTACTAAGGGAACTATACCCACGAAAAGTTTTCCAAATCAGCTCTGACCACCTTTCCTTCTGTGACTAGTGCATGACTTATTCAAAGCTCCTTCTTGATTAGTTTCAGGGTCAAGTTTATTCCAATCATTATTGGGTGTCACAGACCAGGGGCCTATTCTAAATCAATTGGAACTCTATATGTGGATATGTGTGCCATTCTACTATATTCTACCCTAATCTATTCTGTTCTAACCTATCTTGCTCTATTCCATTCTGATCTGTTGTGTTTTGATCTGTACTTATCTATTTTACTCTATTCTATTCTGTTTGAGAGTATACTGGAAAGTTCGAGAACAGTAGAGAGGAGTACATTGTGAGTAATTGGGATGACTTTGGCTCGGCAGATGATGGTCCTGTATTCTTAGGAAATCGCTAGAAATTATTGAGTCTTAACTTATATCGAGCTCTTGAACTTTCGAACTCTGGTGCCCACGGAATACGAACTCCTCTTGTACTCTTGAAATTGGGATACTGTATGCGAGAGTATTCCTTCAATACTACATAGCTGAGCATAGCACTGAGGGACTCATCAGAAGAGATAGAAACTAAGTTCAAATATTTCTATTTTACTTTATAATATTCTGCTCTGTTCTGATCTATCCTAATCTTTTCAATTCTGTTCTGTTCAGTTCCGTTACGTTCTGATCTGTCCTTGTCTTCCCTATTCTATTCTACTCTATTGTCACGGTTTGAGTGTTGACGCTGGAGAAATTTCATGGATTGTTGTGGCATAGCGTAATATGAAACGTCATGCGGACGGCTGGGTTAAAACACAAATAATAGTTCAATGCACTTCTAAAACCAGCAAGGAAGACTGATAAGAGGAGGCTAGTTTCGTTAGGTGATGTGTAGCAGATTGTTTGGCATAGAGGCTGTGCGTTGTGTGCTATTTGGTAATTTTATGTATATAAATACTCGGCGTGGAGAAGCATTATTCTTCACGCAACGTCTTCTTCAATTACCTTAACAATACACTTGTTTACCCATCTCTTCTTCGGGAAGACCATTTATCTGTTGTCCAGCTCTTCATCAGCAAGACCCATGTGTAACCTCTACCGTTACTATCTACCTATTTCATCTCTTCCTAGAGAAGACCAGTCATCCCTTCGACCTACTTCAATAGTTGAACTCTTATGTAAATATATACAGATTCATATCCTCCTAGATACTTTTCTCTTTAGTTTAGAATCTTATGATTTGAGTCCACGCCAGCTTTTGACCACTCGCCAATCGTCTTTTGTCCCTCGAGTTTCCACACCATATACGTGTCACAAAAATGGGAGGGCTAGATTGACAATGTCGTATCTGGTTGATAAGATTGTCTACAAAGAGAGAAAGAGTCTTAATAAATACTTAACTAAAACATATATCAAGCAGTACCCTTGTCCAAATAGAAGATCTCACGTGATATTATCTAAGCTTCTTTCCTTGTCATATGGTACTGCCTTACTCCCTATTCTTTCGCATTACTTGACAATATCTTTGTAGAATATCTTGCTTTCTTCTTTGCTGTTTCAATCTCGCGCTTTGTTGGTTCCCATTTGTTAGGGAACTGTCTCTCGAACTCCTGGATGGAGGATGTAGCGTTTGTTGTAATCTAACGCTTTTCATCCTCGGACCTCATGGTGAGCAGTAGTTGTATAGCACATGATGCCATGCGGGGGAGAAGGAAGAGGATAGCGAAAGCCGCTAGCCAGATCTCAGCAATCTCGCCCACTTGTAGACGGAGAAATCCTTTTTGTATATAGATAATACAAGCCTAAATAGTACAACAACAATAGTAAGGAACTCATACATCCGCACCTCAGTTATCTCATACATTGTAACCCATAAACCTCACTCTCATATCTATCACCCCACGACAGAGCTTCAACAGCGTTGACAACGTTCTCAAGAGGCTCCTATGTTTGGTCATCAGGGTCATTTCCACACCATAAGATTAAATAATAGAATATTTTCTTATATTTGCTTCGCTTGGAGTCTATAATCACCTCAATAGCTGTAAGGATCTCTTAGGACTTGGTTACTTATCTTGAACTGGAGGCGCTAAATCTTGGGCTCTTGATGGTAAAGAAAATATAATAACAATAAAGACTTGGTTCTTGATTCTTGGGTATCTAGGGAATAATACAAGACTGAAAGCTGGAGAGCTTTCGACATGAAGATACCTCAGCTACTTATACTATGACACTATCTGCTACAGACTACAGTAATCTAGTTCCAGCCCGATTCCTGTGGAACTCTTGAGAGTAACCTAGAATCTGATCGAAGCCCATTGAACTGGTAAGAGTACAAAATACCATCCCGGAACATCTAGAAACTAATTGCCAGAGTAGCTTAGAATTCCATCGAAGTAACTAGAACTTGTCTAGAGGGATACCAGCCGAAGCTAGGATCAGACTCTACCTCAACACCATGAATCTATCCATGACATAGCAGTAGCCATATAGTCTTAGAGCCAGAGATTGGCAGGATACCATCTCAACATCAGTCAGTCTGTGACAACAGCAAACAATTTTTCGCCATACTTGTCAAGTGCAATAGGTGGTGGCGGGGGATTAGTTTGTCCCGGGAGAGAATTTGTTGGCGCTGGTCGAACTTAGCTTGTAGGGAATACATTATGTAAATTCTCATGTTCGAAGGGAAGTTCCAGTTGGTATGCATGGGAATTGACTATTTTTGTCACTCGGAATGGTCCAATAAATTTACAATCTAATTTTTTGATGGGTCGCGAGGTAGTAATATTTCGAGTATCTAGAAATACTCCATCACCCACTCTGCCGGCTGGTGCTGGCAAGCGATTTGCACTTGAAGCTTTTTCCTGTCTTTCTCTGGCCCGCGCGAGGTTTGAGCAAAGTACATCCAATACTCCGGCCATTTTGGATGCAAAATTGTTACCTCCAGCAATTTGTTCCCCTAAGATGTTTCGAAGGTGTTCTTGAGATTGGCCGTGGAGGTCCAAAACTCATGCGTGGATGGAAACCTTTGTTAGCAAAGAATGGAGAGATTTGGGTTG